TTTGCCTATACTGCCATTGCCACGGGCCGGCCCTGGCTGCCGCATAAGAGTGAAGGAGAGGAGACAAATATATAGTATATTCCATAAATTACAAAGCCACACTGAAAATAAATACTATTTTCTGATTGTTTGTAAACAGTGACAATTTCAATCACAGGAGTTTAAGTTAATTCCAAGCGGTTTGGAGGACACAGTTGTGTCCAAACTCTTAACCTACATGTTTAGCGCAGATTAATATACTGTAGCTGCATCATGTCTGAAAGTTCTCTGTATTGCATGTACTAAAACATAATGCTGGAACAAACAAGTTATTCTGTGTGGCAGTTTGTTCCCATTTAAATTGCAGAACAGATGCTAATTAGGATAAACTATTTTAGTTTAATAATAAAAAAAAACCTTTTGAATATCAACTTTAATTAGAGGCTTCACCCTACTTCACTTTGAGGAGGGACCTGGACATGATTTCACCCAATCACACTGGCTTCAAGATGAAACAGCTATTCTGATTGGTTGATAGGATTCAAGTTTGAATAGACAGCTGGTTTGGACTTTGTCCAGCAGGGAGGCCAAACACAGTTACCACCTGTCAGCATTCAGCCAGATGTTACTAAATCTTTGGCTGAGGCCAGTTAAGTTCTCTTTGCATTAGTTTGAAATAATTCTAATCCAAATTTCTTTCAGGCTCAGAAGGTAGTGTGCCTGGCTAATTCTGGGATTTACATGCCACTCTGGCCTCTGAAACAGAAAAATTAAACTTATTCCTTACTGCGGCGACAACTGGTCAGCTGAAAAAGACCAGAGTCCATGATGGAAAATTGAAGGAGATAAACAATCTTTGGAAGGGGGACAGGTTGTGAGGAACACTGCATAAAAATGAAACGCCTCTCCTGCCCAAATATAGAAAGAGTAGCAATATATTTAATGTGAACTTTTCAAGGTATGCAGGCAGTAATGGATGGGAACAGGCACTTTTAAAAATCCTCACCTTTACTGTGTGTGTTGGCAGAAAGCCATCCTGAGCCATAAGCAATCCTTCACTGCCCTCCCTCTCCTCTTTGTTTAAAACCCAGCATGACATGTAACACACCATAAAGGGGTGTAAAGAGGTGTGAGGGATGGTATAATCAATTTAACTGGTGATTGAAAAAGCATACGTTTTTGTTACGTAGATTTCTCCCTTGGCCTCTTATTCACACTACAGTCCCTTATTTAATCAGGCTGGTAAATTTTAGCGGTAACCTAGAGCTCTCACCACCATTCCCCTGGTGGCGGGAGCCTTAACATGGTAAATTTCACTTGAGTAGGGAAATGTGCTCAGTGGCCAAGGCTAGTGCTTTGGAAGGATAAAAAGAGCACTTACCGCCTGACATGTGCAATCCATAACAGAATAATGAGACCCCACACTTGGAGCTCTCTTCCCCTGCTCTTCTTCTCTATGTTTTGTTTTCCTTGCGAGTGCTCATAAATGCCATGTAAATCCAGAAAGCGGAAGATGAGGAAAGTGCTCGAGGGAAAGCGTTTAATCATTTGTGTCTTGTTACTGAATCATGTAACAGCATATACTCTATGAAGATGCTCCAGATAAGCAGTGAACCTTTTTGAAACTACTGACCTCCTTCTGTCAGCTGTTGTGCTTCCAAATGAAGCTGATCCCCACCACAATGTCTCCTCATCCCTTTTGTCTAACAGAAGACACTTTTCACATTTCAATGAAGTAGAATGCTTCCCAATTTGTACAGAATTAGGTACATTTATTTTTGCTGATTTTAAAGGACTTGTGGTGATGAAACCCACCCAACATTAACATATGAAAGACCAGCAGTTTTCAGGTCTCTCCAGAGATGGTCTATTGGTTTCAGATCTGGACTCTGGCTGGGCCACTCTCGGACTTTCACAGAGCTTTCCTGGCAGCATGCTTCCGGTCGTTGCCTTGTTGAAATGCAAACCTTCGCCCCAGCCTGAGATTCTAAGCACTCTGGAGGTTTTCATTCAGAATTGCTCTATATTTTTCTACTAGTCTCCCAGTCATAGAAAAACATCCCCGCAGCATGATGCTGCCACAGCATGCTGACTGTAGGGATGGTATTAATGAGGTGATGCTCAGTGCCTGGTTTTCTCCAAACACACCACTGGGGATTGTGGCCAAATAGTTCAGGCTTTGTTTCATCAGACTAGATGTTTTTGCTTTTCATGGTCTATGTGTCCTACAGGTGCCCTTTGGCAAACTCCCAGTGGGCTGTCATGTGCCTTTTAGTAAGGAATAGCTTCCTTCTGGCCACTCTACCATAGAAGCCTGATTGGTGGAATGCTGAGCTAATGGTTGTCCTCCTATAAGGTTCTTCCATCTTCAGAAAGAAACTCTGGATCTCCTTCATAGTGACCCTTGGGTTCTTGGTGGCCTGTCTGATCGATGCCTTTCGTCCCCGACTACTCAGTTTGGCTGGACAGCCAGATCTATGTTGGTGGTTTCAAATTTCTTCCATTTGAGAATGATGGAGGCTCCCATGCTCTTTTCAATACTGCACATATTTTCTTGTATCTTTCCCAGCTATGTGCCTTGACACAATCCTGTCTTGCAGGTCTATGAACAGTTCTCTCGACCTCATGGCTTTGTTTTCACTCTGATATACACCATCAGCTATGAGACCTTATATAGACATGTGTGTGCCTTTCCTAATTACATCCAATGCATTAGTCACAGGTGGACTCTAATCAACCTGGAGAAGTGCGTCAATGACCACTGATAGGAGCAAGATGCACCATAGCTCAAGTTCAAGTGTCAAAACAGATGGTCTGAATACTTATGTAAATGGGATATTTCAGACTTTTATTTTTAATAAATTTACAAAACACTCAAAAAAGCCTGTTTTCACTTTATCACTGTGGTGGATTGAATCAAGACGAGTCTGAAGCATAGAAAAATGTGGGAAACTTGAAAGGGTCTAAAAACTTTCTGTAGTGACTGTATAATTTGCTTTTTTCCTGCACCATGTTTACATGTTAAAAAGATTCATTCCACTATTAAAAGGTCAGCAAGTTGTATTTTGTTAACAAAAGGCTGAGTAAATTAGTTCCAGCAAGTTCAGCAGCATGTTATAAATTTGTCAAAACTGCCAAAATTTTACTTGTCCAGTCCAGATTTACAGTACAAGCATACTTACAAGTCTTCCTTGCCCCCGTTCTGTTAAAAAAAGAAACAATGTCATCTTTCCTTATTGTCTCCCTGCTTCTCTCCTTTCATCTATGTCACAGTGAGGGGTTGAAGCACAGTCACCTCCAATAGCAGTGGGCCATCCCTCACCCTGTCCCTGGAGGCGACAGCCCACTTACTGCCAGCTCATGCTCAAATAGAGGACATTTCATCACCCAACCGAAAACACAATTAAAAACACAAGCACGCAACAG